CCCCTCCCCCCCCCTCCTTCCCCCTGGCCTCTCCTTTTCCTCCTTCCCCCCCCCCCTTTCCTCCCTTCCCTTCCCTCTTCTTCCTCCCACTCCTCCTCCACTCTCCTTCCTCCTCCCATTCCCCTCTCCCTTTTCTTTTCCAACCCTTTCCTTCCCCTCCCCCTCCGCTCTTTTTCATCCAACTCCTCCTCCTTTCCTCTCCCCTCCTTCTCCTCCCCCTCCCCCCTTCCTTCCTCCTCCCTTGGCCCGAGGAAGAGCTTTCGAGTCCTGCAGCGAGCGGCCGAGAGCAGGAAGAGGCGACCTCCGGAGCCAGAAAGTGAAAGGAACCGAGAAGGACTTTTTTCCATTGTTTTTGTCTTGGTTTTTCCTTTTTTTCTTTTCCTTTGAAAGACAATGTCGCATCTTCGGGACTGAGATGCTGTTTTGGTCGGGGAAGCTTGGCGTCCTTCTTGCCTGCGTCCTGTGGCGGAGGAGCGGCGTTGATTGCGCTCAGGATTCTTCGGTTCGTCTTGTTGCTCTTTCCTTTTTCTTCGCTTTCTCTCTTTCCGTCTCCTACTTTCTCTTTGTCTCTTTTGCATTGGTTCTTCGTTTTTTGTTCGTCTCTTGATTCTTCTCCTGTTTCCGTTTTTCTGTTTCTTGATTGATTTTACTTATTTTTCTTTCTTCTCTGTCTCTGTCTGTCTGTCTCTCTCTCTCTCCTCTCCCCTCCCCCCTCTCTCTCTTTTCCTCCATCCCTCTCTCTATCTATCTATCTCCGTCTCCATCCGTCCCTCCTTCCTTACCTCCTTTTTTCCTTGCCCCATCCCTCTCCCTACCTTTATCCCCCCCTCTCTCTCTCTTTTCTCTCCCTCCCTCCCTCCCTCCCTCTCTCTCCTCTCTCTCTCTCTCTCTCTCTCTCTCTCTCTCTCTCTCTCTCTCTCTCTCTCTCTCTCTCTCTCTCTCTCTCTCTCTCTCTCCTCCCCTCCTCCCTCCCTCCCTCCTCCCCTCCCTCTCTCTCTCTTTCTCTCTCCTCTTTCGCTCTCCCTCCCTCTCCACAGGCTTAGTCTCCGGAAGTCGCCGACCATGAAGCAGAGAAAGAAGCGAGGGGAAAGGAAGCAGGGATCACTTCCGGCGTTGACAATGAGGCTTTCTTGCGCATGCGTGTGAGGAAGAAGGTTACGTAAGATGTGCGTAATAGGGGGAAAGGGGGAAGAGGGATGGGGAGAGGGACGAATGGGATAGGGAAGAGGGTGGAGAGGAGAAGGAAAGGGGGAGAGGAAAAGGGGAGAGAAAGTGAGAGAGGAAGGAGGAGAGGGGAAACTAGGGGGAGCGGGAGAGGAACGGGGAGAAGGAGGAAGGAGAGGGTGAAGGAGAGGGAGGAGAGGAGAGGAAAGGGGGAGAGGAAAGAGAGAGAGAAAACAGGGGGGGGGGAAGAGGGAAAGGGGGAGAGGGAGGAGAGGAGAGGGAAAGGGGAGAGAGAAGTGAGAGAGAGGAAGGGGGAGAGGGAAAACAGGGGAGGGGGAGACGAAGGGAGAAAGAGGAAGGAGAAGGGGGGGGGAGGAGAGGGGTAGGGATAGATAGAGAAAGAGAGAGAGAGAGATGAGAGAAAACAGAGAGAGAGACACACAGTGCGACAGAGAAAGTATATGCAGAATGGCAGCCAAAAAAAAAAAACGGGGAAATAGATATATACAAAAAAAAACAAAAAAAACAGAAAAGAGGCAAAAGAGACATGAAAGTCTAGGACAAAATAGACAGAGTGAGACAAACAATTCCGGATCCAGAAAAGTTTTTTTCTTTCTCTTTTTTAGCAAGGAAACGGGGTGAGGTTGACGGGGGAGGTGGAGGGCTAACAGGAAGGGGGGGGGGGGGTGGAGGAGTTTTTTTTTTAGCAAGGGAACGGGGTGGGGGGTTGAGGGGGGAGGTGGAGGGCTAACAGGAAGGGGGGTGACAGAGGCCTTTAATCACTCTTCATCTTGTCTACAGCATCCTATTACCTCTCATCCCCCTGTGTTGCGTCACACTCGTTACGACACACGGCGACCAACAACAACATCTGCCAGTGAATGTGGCGCATCAGCTGATCCGTGACACGAGGTGAGGGGAATGCGTTTTGAAGGAGGACTATGAATGTGATTGTGAAGGCGTTCAATGGCGGGTTTCAGTCCTGTCGCTTTTTTGTGTTCTTGTTCTCTTCTTTCGCTTTCCTGTTGCTTTCTCCTTGTCTCTTGTTGTTGTTTTTGCTATTTGTAAGGTCGCTTTGTTTATATTTTTTTTTCTTTCTTTCTTTCTCTCTCTCTCTCTCTCTCTCTCTCTCTCTCTCTCTCTCTCTCTCTCTCTCTCTCTCTCTCTCTCCTCTCTTTCTTTCTTTCTCTCTCTCTCTCTCTCTCTCTCTCTCCTCTCTCTCTCTCTCTCTCTCTCTCTCTCTCTCTCTCTCTCTCTCTCTCTCTCTCTCTTCTCTCTCTCTCTCTCTCTCTCTCTCTCTCACTCTCACTCTTCCTCCTCTCTTCTCATCTCCATC